AGGTCATACCTATTATGTTCTTATGGTATTCTCTACTTTCTTCAATTTAAGTATGAATTTTGCAATAAGAATCTCATTATATGAGCCACAGTCAGTTCCAAGTCTTGTTTTAACTGGCTGTATAGAACTTTTCCACCTTTGACTGTATAGTATATAATCAGTCTGATTTTGATGTTGACTGTCTGGTGATGTCTCCGTACAGAGTCATCGTTAGGGTTGTTGAACAAGATTGTTTGCTCCGACCAGCAAGTTAATCTTGACAAAACTCTTATTAGTCCCTGCCCTTTTTCATTTTGTATTTCAAGGCCAAACTTGCCAGTTACTCCAGTTATCTTTTGATTTCCTGCTTTAGCATTCCAATCCCTTATGATGAGTGTGACTTTTTTTTTAAATGTTATTTTTAGAAGGTGTTGTAGGTCTTCAAAGAACTGATCAACTTTGGTCTTTTTGGTGGTAGTGGTTTGAGCATAGACTTGTGTTACTGTGATGTTGGAATGGTTTGCCTTGGATTGGAAGAGATATCGTTTTGTCATTTTTGAGATTGTACCCCAGTACTGCTTTCCTCACACTTTTATTGATTATGAGGGCTACTCCATTTCTTCTAAGGGATTTTTGCCTACAGTAGTATATGTAATGATTGCCTGAATTAAGTTTACCCATTCCCATCTGTTTAAGTTCACTGATACCCAAGATGTTATTTAATCTTTCTGTCTCTTTTTTGACCACATCCATGTTACCTTGGTTCATAGATATTACATTCCGTGTTCCTATGCAATGTTGATCTTTAACATCATTGGATTTCCCTTTTATTATCAGACATATTCTCAGCTGAGCTTCCTTTTGGATTTGGCCCAGCCGCTTCATTTTTTTGTGGAGCTACTTGTAATTTGTCCTCAGCTCTTCCCCAGTAATGTGGTGGACATCTTCCAGTCTGAGGGGCTCATCTTCTAGTGTCATATCTTTTATCATTTTATTACTACCGATGGGGTTTTCTTAGTAAAGACAGTGGAGTGGTTTGCCATTATCTTCTCCAGTGGATCACCTTTTGTCCGAACTCTTCACTATGTCTGGTCTATCTTAGGTAACCTTACGTTGACCTATGCAAGCCCCTCCTCCATGATAAGGCAGTGATCCAATCAGTGAGATTACAGGCTTGGAATGAAGGTCATAGAATCTAAAAGTTAAATAGAATTGTAGAAGTCTTCTCTTCCATCCCAGTGTAGGAGTTCATCCTGTGCCCCTTACAGAAATCTTTTATATTTATCTCTTATTTCACATATGCTTTCCCACAATTTCTAGTGTTGGATCATAACAGTTCCGATTTGAATTTCTGCACTAACCTCCTGATTTACCTCTTCATCTACCTTCCTTCTGCAGGTAAGGGTATGATTCCCTATGTGGACAAGAGGGAGAGAACAGAAGGAGAGAAGGGGAAAAAGGGAGGAAGGAAGGAGATGCCTTGCCCAACTGGAACTAGCCAGTTCGGTCCTCAGTGGGGCAGCTCCTCCTGCTCACAGATTGTTCATTCTCAAAGAGGACCATGACATCAGGAAGGTGACTTGAAAGTGAATTAGATTTAAGTAAGGCAGGGCATATCCTTACCTGCTGAAACCTCACAATATATCCTGGGATTTGTGAGGTAGATGTCTTTTTTAGGGACTATACTTTAAGCCCAAATCCCTGTGGCTGTCATTGATTGGCCAACAATAGGCCCTAGCCCAAGCTTCACTTGGTCATTGTTTGGGCTGTTTCTGTTTTTGCCAAAAACCCTGAGGGTCTTCACCCCTCCCAGATTGATTTTTTTTTTGGACTAGGTAGAAGAATCCATTCTTTGCCTTATTTCTTACCTAGCCTTAACCACTGAATGAGCATTGCCTCAGACAAAATGAGACCTGGGAAAGTCCTTAATTAAAAAAGGCCAAGTTGTCCCACCACAGCAGGAGCCGTCTCCAGTTGTCCTCATCTGTATCTTGCTACCGGACCCAGATGGTTCCTGAGGAGAGAGTGAGGCTGGTGACTTTGCATAGCCTTGCCTCACCTTAGATCCAGTTCACTTGCAAGTCATGACATCACCTTCCTGACGTCAAGGGCCTCTTCAAGAATGAAGGATAAACAATAGCAGCAGCAGGAGCAGCAAACAGCTCCTTCCTTTCAATCCATCATCCATACTAGTACCATCTTAATCTTCATGAGATGCTAAACTTTGCTTGCTCTCTCTGATGTCTCATTTCCCTGTAAAGATAAAATCCAAATAAGCTTTATGTGGCCCCAAACATGTGTATATTCTCTATTTAGTTAACTCTTGATCATCAGTTCAAAGTAGCATACAGAGTATCTAAACACTAATGTTGACATGTACTATGAAGTGCTTATTTTTTTCTTATAGGCATTCCACTTCCTAATTATGTTTTACTTAGGCTGTTTAAATTGATTTTCCCACTTTAAAGCATATACCTACTAATCTTAGGGGGAATTGGCCCAGAAATATGCTGTATAACAATCAAAATTTGCCAGGGATAATTCAGAATGGGTAATCAAGAATGAATAGTATGTTTGTAACCTCTTGAGCCTGCCTGATTCATTACTTTATTGCTAATATAATTTAACCATTTCTCTGTTGTTAGTAAAGAGAGGGGGAATGGATATAAGAGAAGTTCATGAGATAGACTAGAGAAGACATTAACTGATTAAATATGTGTAGTGAAGGAGAGTATGTAGTTGAAGGATACTCTGAGGTTACAAATTTGAATGACTAGAAGAATGGTAATGCTGTTACCAGAAATAGGGAGGTTTAGAAGAGGCTTGCATTTTTGGATGTAAGACAGTAGATTCTCTTTGGAAGTGATGAGTTTGAGCTGCCATGGAACATTCTGTTTTGAAGTGTACAATAGGCAGTTGGTGATGTGAGACCTAGCTCAGGAGAGAGGCCATGTTTTGGTTTGGAGATCTGGCAGTCATTACTGTAGAGATGGTAATTGAACCCATGGGAACTGATGAGAGAGAGACAGAGAGAAAACAGAACAGAAATTTGCGAGTGCATCCATAGTTAGGGACTGAGGCTTAGGTAGGGCTTTAGGAAGTAGCAGCCACTAGTAGGTATCTAAATAATATCCATTTGTCTCTTGATAAACAAAGCTACATCTTTCATTCAAGGATAGAGATTATTTCTCAGAATCTTGGCTCACGGAGTAGAAATGCTTCTTTGAACTCTAACCCAGCACCTCAATTTATCAGTGAGGAATTTTAAACCTGGCAAAGCTAAGTGACTTGTTTAATATCACACAGCTAGGTTGGTGACATAACTGATAATAGAGTTCAGGCTCTCGACTCTGAGTCTGGGCCTTTTTCCACTTTGCAACTTGTATTTTTTCCAGATAAATGAAATTTTTGTCCTCTGTAGTTAAGGAGCAATTTTATTTGAGGCAAATACGCTCTCAAAAATCTGTATTGACAATTAGAGGTATTGTGCTTCAAATAAAAATTTAAAGCATCAGTTTTTCTTATTAGGACAGAACTGTAGTATTTGTAAACAATTTTATTTCACTTACCCAGTCTTGAAATACCTCTTTACTGGCTTTTCAGATTTCAGCTAGGGCAGTGGATGGTGAACTGTTAGCTTAGATAGTTTAAGATGACTTTTTTTTTTTAAAGATGGAGTCCATTTATTAATGTCGTTTGCCAAAGTCTTCTTGTTCCTTATTAATAGTCTTTTTTTTTTTTAAGGCAATTGGGGTTAAGTGACTTTCCCAGGGTCACACAGCTAGTAAGTATCAAGTGTTTGGTCTGAGGCCAGATTTGAACTCAGGTCCTTCTGACTTCAGGGCCGGCGCTCTATCCACTGCACCACCTAGCTGCCCCTATTAATAGTCTTGTAAAAATTTTCCCCTACTTAACAGTATTTTTTTTTCCTAATTACATGTAAAGACAGTTTTCAGCATTCACTTTTATAAGATTTTGAGCTCCAAATTTTCTCCTCACTCCTTCCTCCTCTCCCCTTCCCTAGGATGGCAAAAAATCTGATACAGGCTATGCATGTACAATCATATTAAACATATTTCCATATTAGTCATGTTGTAAAAGAAGAATTAGAACAAAAGGGAAAAGCCATGAGAAAGAAGAAAACAAACAAACAAACAAAAAAAAAGAGAAAATAGTATGCTTTGATCTGCATTCAGATTCCGTAGTTCTTTCTCATCTTGAGTCTTTTGGAATTGTAACATGACACTAATTAAACTATTCATCTGGAAGGAGGGCTACACACAAGAGCACATTGCCTCGGCAAACACTTACCTTAAGGAAGTGAAGATAAAATAATAATTTTTTCCTTCAATTTTTTTTCCGTTTTTAAAGCTGCAAACTGACCAAATATCTTTTAAAAGCTTCGACTTTTAGGAAAAATCTAATACATTAAACACATTTTAAATCAATAGTGTTTTCTTTAAGAGCTTATATTAAGACTCATTTCTCAAAAAGTTGAGAGGAAATACTTTTCTAGAATAAGACTAATCAGATATTAGGAAATCAAGTTATAGTTGACCAACCATATGAAAGAAGAAGCTTTGTTGAATTTAGAAAATAAGTAGTTTAAATTTCAGTTAATATGAGACCCGTGATAGCAAAATGTTCTAAATGTTTACACCATTTATTAAGATTTCTTTTAGCACTGTATTACTGTATTTAATGAGAATTTTAGATCTCTTGTTAGGGGAAATGCCATGAGGTTTCTGGTTTAAATGAGATGCACGAAAAGTTTCACCCATGAATTGGTTTTAAGATGGTAGACAATTTTAGCTAATGTTGACAGGAAAAAAAAAATCAGAAAATCATTTAGATCTCTGAAAAAGAGTTTGTAATCTTTAGTATTAGCTAAAGCATTTTTCTTAACATGTTTAAAATATGTTTGTAATTTCTATTTACTTATACTAGAATTATATTGAAAATCAAACTTTATGAAATATAGAAATAATAAATCCCTTTTTTTCCCCCTTTTCCTCATTTAGGTCCACGATGGGCTTCCTGGAATATTGGCGTATTTATTTGCATTCGATGTGCTGGAATTCACAGAAATCTTGGTGTTCATATATCCAGGGTCAAGTCAGTCAACCTTGATCAGTGGACACCAGAACAAATACAGGTAAGATTTACTTATGATGAAATTTAATGTGGCTTATAAAGTATTGATTATAAAAATATTTGTGTAAAATATTTCTGAGACATATGTAGCACCTGAGAACTAACATTAAAAGGTATAACTGAAATATGTATCTATGTCATTTTGAAGGTATTTCTTCTTGACCTAAGATCTACATACATACATATAGGTAGTAGGATTTTTGATAATTTTTCTCTGTTATATTTTACTAAAGTTAGAAAAAAAGTGATAAAAATAATCAATTCACCTTCTTGGCTTTTTGTAAGAAATCTCTCTTAGGAGAAACATTGTAAGAGTATCCTATTTGTAAATCTCATAAGTAAAGAAATGCTGTTTTTGCACCTGATATTTTCCTTATCCCCCTTTTTTCTGAACAAGACAAAATGGTACGTCTCATTCAAGTTCATAATCAAAGATAATATCTATCTTTTTTAATTTGGTAAATACTGACTCTACTTAAAATTTTTGAGCCCGTCTCGATGGAAGGATGACTTGAGTCTTGTTGACTTAAGGATGAACATTTCCAATTTTAATAACCTTGGTATTATCTCCTTTATCATCTTTGCAAGAAAACATTTTGTTTTGTCTTTAAAAATGTAAACAGTTGAAATACTTCAGGTCAGTAAAGATTTATATTGTAGCATACCTGCTATGTGGATTACATTACTTGAAGGTACTACTTATCTGTTTTTAAAAGTTGGGGGAAAAGATTAAGAATCTATATAAGTTGGTTATTTCTGCTTGATTAGCATGGGCATAACTACAGAAAGACATTTTAAACCTGGGATAATACAAATGGCATGGTCAAATTATACACATTTTAATCTTGGATTTATCTTGAGGTACATGGAGATTTTGGGGGAAAGGTAGACTAATAACTTATTTGCTTTGTGTTCTTGTAAACTTCTTAACTCTCTGAAGTTTGTTTCTTTCATTTCACTGAAATAGCTTTTAAAGATCACTGGTAATCTCCTCATTTTCAAGGCCTGTGACCTTTCTCTCTATTTATTATTTCCCCGTATGTTCTTTCTTTATGTCTTTTGCTGTTTGTCCTTCTCTGGTCCTCAAAGTTCATTCCTTAGCCTTCTGTTTTTTACTTTGTGTTTCTACCTTGGAGACTTGTATTTTTGTCATGTGTTCTCATGAATTTAACTTTTGTGTATATGTTATTTCTAAATCTAAATCACTACCCTGAGATTCATTTCAGTCTTTACCTACCTCCTGGGCTTCTTCAGTTTTGTTTTACATTGATTTCATTGATCTTGAGATGACTGCAAAATCGTCTTGAGATGACTGCAAAATCGTCAAGTCATCATCTCACCAAACTGTCCTCCCCTACTTCTATGAGTATTTCCTAATTTTCAAAATCACTCTGTGTCAGAACTGTAGTAATTTGACTAAGACCTCTTCATTATCTTAGCCCTGTTAATATCCTTTAATCATCAAATCCTATCAGTTTTTCTTTTGTAATATTTCCATCTTACTGCTACTACCGTTATCTTGACCCTTAACATCTTGTGCTCCAGCTTTTTGCAGTAGCTTCCTAGGTGGCCTACTGGTTTCTGGTTTACTTCCATACCAGATTTGCCATTAGACTGTGAGCTCCTTAAGAGCAGAGGTTTGGTTTTTGTGTTTGTGTATTAGTGTATTTGTTGTTTGGTTTTTTTTTTGTTTTTTTGTATCCTCAAGTCCTTAGCATAGTGCCTGTCACATAGTAGCAAGGTAATAAATGCTTGTTGACTTAACCAGACTAGAATTCAGTTCAATTCAGTAAAAATCTATCAAGCACCTACTAGATGCCATAGGCACTGCTGCTAAGCTCTGAGGATACAAATAAGAAAAAGAAAGTCCCTGCCCTCAGAGAGCTTGCAATTTAATGGAAGAAGATAGCATACAAAAGGAAGCTAGGAAGCATTTGAGGGGTGGGGTTTTGAGAAGGACACCAGAGCATCAGATGATTCTTTAATCATGATATTTCTGCTTAGAAACTTTACATTGCTTCCTCATTTTATGTAAAGTCCAAACTCCTGAGCTTATAATTTAAAACCAGTCACGTTGTTTTCTTAATATACTTTTCCAACCTTATTTCCAACATGAACTCTTTACTTCACCGACTGGTCTATGCTAGGTCTTCTGCTCATGATCTTTTTTTATTATTCTCCTTTGGTGCTCTCTCAATGCCAAATAGATAATAACCTTCCAGGAATTCTGTTAGTCTGTCATCCATAACCCAGATGCTCTGAGGCTGCTCAAATTCCAGGTTGTCATTGGCTGTTTATTAGATTGAACATTTCAGTTGTGATACAGGGAAAGACAATTTCTAGATTCCTTTGTCTAGTACAGTATTCTATGATGCATATTCTCAGTCTATAGCATATGAGTATAAAGACATTTTTTTAAAAAGAGACTCATACCAGACCTTATACATCCAAATAAACCATCCCCTTTAAGGTAGCTGTCTTGGGAGAATTATGCACCTATTCCAGTGATTCTGCCATGGTACATCATCTTTTAAAATCACTGTGCTATGGTCACTCCTTCATTTCCCATAAGCTACATGTAAAGTTATTGACATTATATAGTCAAATGACCTGAAATGATGTTATTCAGCTGGATCACTCACTTTCCTCACTAGAAGTAGCTCTGAATTACTTTTATTGGTTATTTCCAAAATTCAGATCCTCTATAAAAGATGAAAGTGACCCTAACAGAAGATATTTAGAAACAGGTTCCAGAGGCAATTCCAAAAGAAGAGCTCTAGAAATTTTTGAGCGCTGACTCCTTAGGTGAAAATGAATTAGTTGGTCCTAATAATGAGAATTTTTTTGTTTAAAAGCATGTGATTTATTTTTTTCATTTGAAATTAGATGACTTAGTTGACGGAAATACTGTCATCTCTTTTAAAGAACCAGAAAGAAGCTGAAACTATTACTAAATTCATAGGCATAAATTAATATTAAAGTCAGTCATAGAATTTTGAGAATTATGAGGAACCTCAGAGGTCACCTAGTCTAAGCCTGTTAACTGAAGCATGCACAGTAGTGTTCTGTAATGAGTTAGAGAGCTGGTCTAAGAGCCAAGTGAGTCGAAGTCCCACATTTGACAAATATTGGCTGTGTCCCTGGCTAAGTCTCTTAACCTCTCTGTGCTTTGGATAACAAAATTGGACAGAAGATGTAGCCTGCATTGGTAGAGGAAGTTTCCACATGTAGGAATTCCATATATTGGTGAAATCACCGGCCTAGTCCCTAATCCATTCTTTTCTAAGACATCTTTAACACAGTTAATTGGCTCTCCCACTTTCTTGATTGTCTCAGCCATTTTAGTGTGCATGTCATGTTTCAGTTGGTATGCTGTAAAGCATGCTTTAACATGGTTAAGTGAACATGTAATTTCAATAATTTCCTGTTTTCTAGCTGCTAGACTGAAATGACATTGCAAAACTCTAACCAAATCAGCACGCATTTATTTGAAAACAAATGCTTTTGTATTTATTACCAAGAAATACACACACATATACAAATAAATAAATTTGTAACAGTTATTTATGGTGAGTCTAGTAGAAGACAACTGCATTTCTAGTTCTTAAATTTATAGTCTAGTTGCGGAGACAAGCTCTACATAAATGAACCAACTAGAGGTTAATATAAGACAGCATATAATTAAATGGTAGAAAGATAAGGAAAGATAGTCATGGGCTGATATTTTATGGAACAGGTGGCTCTATAATAGGGATGGTCAGGAAAGAAGAAGGACAAGACATGGAGATAAGGGTAAACATGACTCATGTGTTTAGGACAGTACAAAGTCCACCATGATCTGAGGGTTCTTGTTGAAGTGTAGTGAAAAAGAAATTTCGGTAAGTCCAGTTTATGACAGGACTGAGTTATTAAATGGATTAATTTGAACTTTATCTAATAGGCAGGGCTGGGGTTGTGATCTTCATTTTTTTAAAAAAATTGTTTGTCAAATACAAACATACATCTATTGGTGTAATATAGATCTCAAACTAGTACAGTTAGTAAGCTGTGTAACTTTAGTGTAAGTTAATATAACTTTCTACAAAGAAACAAGATAACTAGACATTTCAGAGAAGATAAAAGTTACTTGTAAAAAGAATTCTGAACCAACAAATCTAGGAGCCTACAGAGGGGGTACTAATAATATAGCATTGTTATTGAGGTAAAATAGAAAATGAAAAAAAAATTGAAAATACAGTTTTGCTTTGTTCTATTTCAGAGGCATCTTAAGTAAATCTCTTATACACAAGACAATTTCATTACATGATTATTTTGGTGCATCTATAAGTAAGAGTCTTTAGGCTTCAAGATGGACTTCAGTACGTGTTAACATTGCTAATTTTGCTTCTCTCTCAATGTTACATGCTGTCTTCATCATTTCTCATATTACCAAATATAGGGAAGGCAAAACATTGCATATTTTTAAAGAGGCACAATGAAAAAAATTTTGTTTTCAAATTTTATTTTCAAAAAGCATAATTAAGCTAGACAGATAATAGATTGTCAATAAACATGGATGCACATGTTTTTGTATTTAGGGTATAATGTCTCTGAGGATTGCATATACATTCATTCACAAACTTGTTTTTTTTCCCACCCTTCATTTTGGGTGTTTTTAGCAAAAGACCTTATTTACTTTTTTCTTTTTCTTTTTAGGCAGTTGGGGTTAAGTGACTTGCCCATGGTCACACAGCTAGTAAGTGTCAAGTGTTTGGTCTGAGGCCAGATTTGAACTCAGGTTCTCCTGACTTCAGGGCCAGTGTGTATTTATTTTTTAACAAACCTTTTCACCCTTTGCTTTATGGGCATAATTTACTTTTAGATGGGTTATAAAGCTTTACTCTATACTGAATATTTACCCAAATATTTAAATTAGTGTTTAAAAACAGAGCAAAGCAGAGGTTTTAGAGTTGGATGGAACATAAGAGATAATTTAATCCAACCTTCTCATTTTGCACATGA